ATTGGTTCCCCCTTTTAAATTTGAATTTTTTTTTTTTTTGGTAAGTAAGCAAGTACATAAGTACAATTTTTGTCTTCTTTCCTTTAATGTTTTTATTTTATTTTCTTATTTTTTTTAACAAAAAACAATTTAATTTTTTTTTTCTTAAATTTACTTTATTTCTTTTTTTACTTTGTGTTACTTCGTTACTCAGGTTTTTGTTTTTTTGTTATTTAAGCTTCTGATGATGACTTTGAGTAATTATCAGGTGTTTCACCTTGACTGATCTCTTATACACTTACATGTATTGCATGTAATCACACATAATGTATGTATGTAAGTATTTAAATATGTATGTATGTACATGATCCACAAAAATAATAATTGCATTGAATTGAAAGTTGTTGTTATTTATATACGATAAAAATTCAATTGTAACAAAAAAAAAAAAAGAGGGAAAAAAAGATTTCATTAAGATTTTGTTATTTTTTTTTTTATGTACAATAAACATTAAATTTCAAAAAAGTAAGAGAAAAATATCACAAGTGCTTATATATAAAAATAAATACATATATACAAAATATGTGGATGTGTGCCGATGGTTTCTTATTCTTTACTTAAAGGTGAGTAATATTTCGCGTTGTGTTTCTTTTTGAAGGTAAGTAAGTAACTTAAGAAAAGAAAACAACAAAAATTTATTGAAAGACATTTTCAATCTTTATTTTTGCTCCGCGTAATTTATATATGGATATATACATATGTAAGTTAGTATGTATGTCGGTAATACTTAAATAAGAATTATAATTATAAGCTAACTTTGGTATTTAAATAAGTAAAGTATATGGTTATGGTATATTATTAAAAATGTCAACTCGCGAAATTTTAAATTTGTTTTTGTTTTGTGTTACTTGTTATTTGATCTCGGATAATTATACTGTTATGTAATACTTTATAATGAACACGTCTATAGAATATAATGTACGTCTATAAAATTACATATACATATGTATATACACACTTTGTATCATGTATGAATGCTTAGATATTGTATAAGTGAGTTTGAGTATTTTGTATATTTTATTTATAATTGGATAAAATAAAAATGTTAATGATGATAATAAGTACGCGGTAAATGACAAAATAATTGTATTTTTTTTTATATATGTTAAGAATTTTTGAAATTTTTTTTTTCCAGTTTTTATGTCTTTCGACTCCTTTTTGAGATATTATTTAATTTTTGATAATTATTAAGATAATTCTTATTATTGTCGTTTTAAAATATTGTATGATATTACATTTATGTATATTATATGTACATATTTAATTATATATATATTTTTGTTAATTTGATCCTAAATTAAAATAAAGACGTATCTCATGTATATACAATTGTATTTGGAATTATTTAACATCTACTAATATTTAAACACGATCATAAAATTTATTAAATTATTTTTCAATTGGCATTCACGTTATAAATTTAATTAAGATTTTATAATAAGAAACCTTTTATATTTATTTTAGGAATTACATTACTATTGTAATATAAAATTGAAAATTAATTTAAATTTTTATTCGATATTCATGAACAATAACAAGTAAGTAATTACTTATTTTTGAAATTCTAATCCTGCCCACCCATCCACTATTCAACTAGATCCCTCAACACGTTGTAAACATAACAAGTTTTCAATATGTTGAATAGTTAATAGACTAGTTCATCAAGTATTTGATGGTTGAAACATGGTTGAAGAAAATATTAAAAAATTTTTCATTTGAGTAAATGTATAACTTTAAAATAAAGTCAATAAAAATTTGAAATCGATTTCTGAAATTGTATTCTATAGATTGTATTGGATTAATTTTTCCTTTAGAAATAATTTTTAATATTTGATCTTTTGTAAGCTTATACAATTATGACCCCATAATATATGCAATATTAATAACAGTATAATTGTAATTAAAAATGGTAAACTACATAAAAATTTCTAATTAAAATTTATAGATACTGGTAAAATGACTATATTTTTTCTATAAGTAATATTTTTTAGGAATCTTTTTAGCTCTGTATCTTTTAGCAAAATAAATTAGTAGCTGCATGGTGTATAATTCTATGTAAATAACCAACTGCTCAAAGAATAATTATTAAAAAACAATATACTAGAAAAATAATTTTTATTGTAATTGAAATTGGGCTTTGTCATTCATATTGTATTCATTGCTTCTAAAAATTATTAAGTATACTAAAACAATGTCTCGGAGAGTATCATCGATATCCGATCACAATTATCAGAACTGTTCATGAGCACAGAATATTGCAATATATAACTGCGTAAAAACTTTGTTAAATTTGTGTTTACAAATAAATATAGCAAAACAATTCTATGCTAAATTATGTATAAGTAATTTAGTTAAAATTGCTATTAGTTGCGCGCAGTTTAATCACACAAACCATTTTGCTTTTATAGAATTGTCAAAAATATATTGCGTTATTCATTACATTTTTGTAGTATATTTGATGTTCATTTACGAAAATCTTTAATATTACTTAAAACTAAAAAATCGGCAATTCTGTTCACATATCGTTATGCAACTTCAAATTCAAAGTTCATATTTTCGAATACATACATACATATGTACATATTTTTCATTTGAAATTAATTGACTAATAAAATGTCAACAAAAACTTCTACACTATTTATAAAAAATGCTATTATTTTTTTTTCTTAATTATAAATTAAAATTTTTTACTTAATATGCAAAAAAAAATGTTTTTTTTGTTTTCCTTTTAAAACACCTCACATAATAATTAAATATTTTTTTAACATTTCAATTTCGTAATCTACGAAAAAATTATACTAAATGTCAAATTTAAAAATCAAAGTTTCAATGTTAAATCATGAATTTAAATTTGATTTTTTTTTTAAATAACTTGAAGCAATACAATTTAATTTTCATACATAAATTAAGTGAATAAATTAAAGACAACAAAAAGCGTGCAATATTTGCATTTTTTTGTTAAAAATCAAATTAAAGCTACACACACGTTTACATATGTATACGTTTGTATGCATGTATGAATGAATAAGCATGTAGGATTAAAAGAGATAATAATATTTAATATTCAACTCACATTATGCCTTTTGTTTTGCTTTTAAAACAATTTTACTTTTTTTTTCACTTAAATACAAAAAAAAAACCGAACCATATTATTAATAACAGTTAAAATACTAAAAAAAAAAAAATTAAAAAAGAAAACGGCATCTGGCCTTCAAAATTTGCATTAACAATATAATAAGAAAAAAACGAACAACAACAACATGCACGGCACGGCAACTGAGTCAATTACAAAAATTATGCTCAATTGACACGCCATTTTGAGAGGTAAAAAAAAAATATTTTTTTTTTCCTTAAATTTTTGTTTTCTTTCTGAAATTAAAGAGTCATTGTAACAAAAAAATTTAAAAAAAACAAAACCACACAATAATTGTAATAAAATTAAATTTCAACATTTTAATCACAAATTCACGTACATGTATACATACATTGTTTATTTTTACATTTTTTCCAGTTAATAGTCAAAAAAAGGGTTAAAAAATAAAAAAAAAAAAGTGTTGACGCTATTTTATTACTTCAAAAGAATCAGGTTCATTATTGTTGTTAAGTTGAATTGAGTGATTAGAATTAAAAATATGAATAAGGTCGAATTATAAAGGCGGTAATCCGAAATCACATATGAAAAATTGTCTTGCATATTGAAAAATTTGAACATGAATAGGATGATTTTAAAAGATAAGATGAATAATGTTGAATATAATTTTATAATGTTATCAATCGCTTAATAATTATAAAATTACGAAATAATCTTCTCAATGTAAATGAGAAACAGAGGATTTGATGTAACGAAGTAGTCAAATTTTAAAGCGAAGCGAAAATTATTCATCTCCGCCATAGAACCGAGTAAAACAAGGCCCAGAAGCAAAACTAATTAAAATTTTAGGAAAATAATTTCTATGATAGCAAATACGAGCTGACATTTTTAATTTCGTAAAAAGAAAGTAACTCTGTATAGATATTAAATAGTAAGGGAAAGCACTGAACACAAATTAGGCCTAAATAATGCTAAGAAGGTTAATACATTGTTATGAAAATTTTCTCGAAAATATGTTTTTAAATTATATTTTGTCAAAATTTAATATTATGTACATCGGAATTGCTATTTCTAACTCGTTTATTGCGCATTAGCCAAATTTGTTTTATGTACAACTCATGTTAGTGAATCAGAGGACTTGTGTGATGCAAAGAAAATTTAATATTTATTTGTATACGAAATTTTTTATACACAGAAGAATTCACTTGTTGCCAGTGATTACCTGACAATGAAAGTTATAAATCAGTTAGAGATATTCACGATTCAATTGCTAGATACAATACTTTAATAATGAGCATTTTTCTATCATTGAGAAGAAGTTCAGATATACTCACTTATATCTGGTACTCAATCAAATTAAATCTAATTCGAATTTATTTTCTTGTCATTTAAAATTCAGTCTTATTGGCATTTTGTTTGTCTCCCATGCATGTTAGTTTGTTCCAAGTAATCATTTAGAAGGAACAAATCAGTCAGGAAAGACCAGTTATTCAAACATCTATTTCAATACAATAGAAACGTTTTCGTTCTTTTTTTTTCTTTAGTTAAATAACATTGTTTGGTAATACTTTTTTTTTTAAATTCATGAAAACCTGAACAACTTTAAAGCAAAAAAAAAAAAAGAAAACCAACTGTTTTGCGGTCTGTGAACTCATAAGCAATGAAAAATTAAATACAAAAACGAAAAACAAAAATAAAATTGGAAAAGTTCTACAACTTTTTTATACTTTTTTTTTCTCTTTTTTTTTTTTTTTTTACAAATTTACAATGTGTTGAACGAGAATTGCAAGTGAATGCTTTGTTATTTTCTTGACGTTTATTTCTGTATATTTTTTTTTGTGTTTTATTTTTTAGTTACTTTTTTACTCACACTTTAATTACAGTTTACGCCGGACAAGTTTCTTTTTTTTTATTTCTTTCTCTCTGTCTATCTCTCTCTTTCCCGTGATTCTGTGTTTAAATATCGCTTTTGCAGCAAAAATAGTAAAATTAAAAAAAAACAAGGCAAAAATTCAACTCAACTAAAAAACAAAAAAATTCAGAAGAATGAAAAAAAAAGCGGAGTAAAAATGTTGCACATGCCTGGTATGTTTTCGCTGTGAACTTGTTGTTGTTTTTTTGTTTTTTTTTCTTACTAACAATGTACGTTTTTATTGCAATTTTTTAAAATGATACCACACGCAATAGTATGCAATTTTTTTTATTATTATTTTAATGTTGCTGTTGCAGTTGTTGTTGTTGTTGTTGCTATTTTGTTGTTTTTCACGAATAACTTATTTTGCATAATTTGAGAGCGCGAAATATTTGTGCCAAAGAAATAAAATGTATGTATGTATGTATATAATGATAATCATGCACAAAATAAAAAAAAAAAGAATAAACACGTTTAATGAACATGCAATTTTCTATGTTGCTGTTGCCGTTGTTGTTTTTATTATTATTGTTGTTCTTATTTTACTTTTCATTGTTTATAGTAACCCGAAGTCATGTGGAAATTTTTTATTATTTTGTTTTTTTTTTTTTTTTTTTTTTTTGTAATTTTAATTTTCTATATAAAATGCAAAGTAGATTGGGGAGGAAATATTATTTACATTGTATACATACATGTATATGAGCATGTAGGCATTAATGTAATTGCATATATGTACATATATGTATGTATTTCTTTTGAATACACACTTATTTAATGACTAACAAGCATATATATTAATAAAGATTTATACAATCTACTAAGTATGTATGTATGTAATTATGTGCGTATACATATTTAATTTTGAAATACCATATTGTAATTATATTTTACAGGTGAAATAAGTTAATTAATAAAAAAAAAATAAAAGTAGATAGGTATATTTTTCATTTTTAAAAATATTACAATCACACGAGCTTATACAATTTGTAAGTATAAAAAGTTCATGTATGTAAACATATACATATGTGAGTATATTTTAAATTTAATTCATGTTTTTCGGAATAACTCACTTAGGTGAGAAGTATACATATTTAAATACATGTCTATTGCTGTCATTATAAATATACAGTGACTTTACAATAGTAAACAAAGTGTAAGTAAAAGTTCATTAAAAATTTTACTTGAGATTATTGTGAATACATACTTACAACTAGCAATTTAAATTGTAATATTTAATTAATTCCGATATTATTCATAAAGATTATTTTATTTAATTTAAAATAATTAAATAACAAATTTACTCAATTTAAAATTTTTTTTATTAAATGCAATTAAAAAAATTATTTTCATATTCTTTATCAATTAAAAATTATCTTTAATTATTATTAAAGATTACAGCTAACAACATTAAGAATATGGTTCGAGACTGGATGATATTCTCAAAGCAGGGTGATAGAATGCATCCAAATGAACACTTAATGATATTTTCCTTTTTGGGATCTACTTTTCGAGTTTAGGGACGCCAAAATGGGAATCTTTGAGATCGGAACATTAAAAAATAAATTGTGTACCGATGCTAATTTTGATGCCAAGGAAATTCTGAAAACAGTCTACCATTTTAACATTTCTACTGATAATTTAAAAAATATGATAAACAAAGCTAATTGAGTATACTGATTTCAGAACTCATGTTAAAATTTTCAAAAGTTTTTATGTAATTATTAACATTGCAGCTAAAACAAGCTTTAAATTTCTAACTCTCAGCCGAACATATGATACATATTTACTTACTTATAGATTATTCGAAGTTTTCGATTATAGAATTTGTTTAAAAGAAGCAAAAAACGCATTAGTAATTAAACATGGTCAATTTGAATGTGTATCAAATGTTTTTCAAGAAATTTTATTCCGCTGAAAAACTAAACCAAAAAAAAAAAAACAGTTTTAATGCCATGGTTAGTTTTTTATAAATCACTCACTCACGTTTTTATTTTTCATTTTAAATTCCTTGCACGAAAAAAAAAGAGTCAACTTATAACTACTAAAAGAGTTTGTCTGCTTCTTCTGTTTGTATTTCAAAAGAAAAATAAAAAAATTTCATTATTTCCGTAAAATTACCATTTTGTATTCACAAAAATGAGCAAAAAACGAAGATGAGGAAAAATCAAATCCAAAAAGCATTTTATAAAAAACGAGAAGAAAAGAAAATTAACAAAGAAATTCACCACACCACACCATGTTGTACAAAATTATAAAATTCTTTCTTTCCATTTTCTAAATAAAACGTTAATCTCCCACAGATACTTGTTCTTTTTTTCTTTCTTTTGTACTAGTGCCAGCGTATGGTGCTGCTGAAATTTATTTACAAAAAATCTTATACAATATGCACAATAATTATTACTTATTCTATTTCTTTTCTACATAATTACATACATACACACGCGCGTACACACATTTTTCATTTTAAAATTTTTCCTTTGTTCCAGAAAAATTTCCTTGCTCTTTTATTTTTAGAGTTTTTTTTTTTTTATCCATTTAAAAATTGTGTCTGGATTTTCAAAGTAAAAAATTTTATTGTTATTTTTTGTGTTATTCTTTTGAAATTTTTTTGTTATACATATTTAGTGAAAATTTATTGGAATTCTTCTTACGCAACATTATAGTTGTTAAGTATGTGATTAAATCTCTTTTTTTCTTCACAGGAAATGAGAAATACAAACATAATACATATATACCAGTTTTAGAATTTAACCAGTTTCTCAAGAATGCATTATCTAGACCTAGACTAGAATCAATAAGAATTATAAGTAAATTCATAATGGTGAAAAATGGAAATAGTTATGCTTGAATTTACATTTTTAAAGAAGTAGGCGATATTAGAAGCAAATTCGCAACATAAACCACAAACACAAAAATACATAAAGTGAATTTGGTCAAGTTAGTTTTTGATTCAGAAAGTTATTCAATTCCTCTATTAATAAATTAATTATGAGATATTGAAAAATGAGTGTAGTTTTAATAAAGCCCAACTAACGTGCGATTAATCTGATTCTCAACAATAAAAATTTAAATTTAATTCTTTAACTTTTTAAACTGCTCCACATTTATTTTTAAAATTTTTTCATAAAGCCCAATATTATTAATGGATTAATTTTAAATTTAATTAGAATTAATATTTTAATTTAAATATTTTAATTTAAATAAATATTAAAAATCAAATGACATCTTTCAAACCTTAAAGAAAACCGAGAAATCATTAAAAATTAGACAATAATCTCAATTTAAATTAACATTAGAATAAATAACATTACTAAGTCTTAAGTACCTAAGTATATATTATATGCATATAAGTACTTCTATAAGTAGGAAAGTACATCCGTATAAATTTTAAATTTCAACTGTTATAAATGTTAAAAGAGCATTAATTATACGAATGACAATTTCTATATAAATCTTGTAAGTACAAATAAACATTAAAACCAGATCAACCTTAAATTAAAATAATGTAAAAATTTTAAGGACAACATTATACAAAAAATTCAGAACAAATAGTTAGACCTCTTGTTCAATTTCATTTATATACGTACATATGCACATATAAGCTTGTACATTTATTTATTTAGATATAAATTACGTGTACATATCTTCTGAATAACTATTATACATATTTATTTAGTTGTCATACAATTATAACTATTTATATTCATATTAAGTACAACTAAACCTTATAATTTTAGTTGTTATATAATTAGATATAATATATGTAATTATATTTTCTTAGATATATATACGTATAGTTAAACTATAATAAAATGTGATTCATTTAAAAAAACAAAAAATCAATATTTATAATATAAATATAATTGTACTACATAATTATAACAAAATTCCTAAGAATATACTTAATTATATAAAATAATGAGCAATACTATTTTTAGTACTATAAGTAATAATCTTTATAATAATATTAAATAAATTTAGAAATTTATATTCTTATATACAATAATAGAAACTGTTATATTACTTATATTTTTATATTTAGATAATTAAGTATACGTACATTTTATTTAATTTATGCATGTAAATTTAATAAGTATGACTCATTCATAGTATGGTACAATATTTTATAATTTTTGTTATACATGAATTTTGTGCTATACAGAAACCAATATAATGAAAATGAAAAATTATTTTCTCTTTTACTTTTTTTGTTTCATTAAATAATTAAAATGATAATTTTTTTAAGCTACTTATTTTAGAAAAATTTTACAACAAGTTAGAGAAAAAATTTATTGTTGGACTAAATTTTATGCCTTTTAATGTACTGTAAATTATTGCATATTTATATGCCTATGTGTGTTTGTGTAAAAGTATCAGAAAATCTGATTTTTTCAAAGAGTAATTTCAAGGTTTTCTTTTCTTGTTATTATTGTTATTTTTTTTTTTTTGTTATTATCATTTTCTTTTAATTCCTCTCTTTCTCATGTCTATTTCAATGCAATAATTTTCATTGTTTTATTTTCGTTTTCATTATTTTGTTTTTAAGTCTATTTTAGTTTCTTTTACATTTTCTCTATTATGTACTTATATTATGTATAAACAATTATGTATCTATTTATTCCCATAAATATCTTATATACTTATTATTTAATGTAAAATATAATATACAAATTATAAGGAGCATGCATATGTTTCTATAAGTATAACACTATTGCGTATATAATTTTATTATTGTACTTATTAACAGTTATTCTTATTTTGACTTCTTAAACATATTCTACGTACAAACAAAATAAGTAGAGAGAGAGAGAGAGAGAGAGAGAGAGAAATAAAAGAATTTTCTTTTATGCATTTACATACGAAAATTCTTTGTTTATTTATATATTGAAAGGCACACATTATGTATGCGTATATACATAAATACATATACATATTATGTAAATAATAAATGTATTTTTATATGTTATACAATATGCGCACTAGTAAAACAAAATTTTTCTATTATTTGTCTATTTCAACATACTACTTATTCATAGGACGTATATAAAATTTTTTTATAGAAACGTTCTTTCTAAATTGGATAAAATATGTTATACTTTAAAAAATTCTAATATACATATATGTAGTAGTACATAATTTTAATATAAAACTTTTATATTAAATTTAAATATATATGTATGTCCGTATAACATTATTAAGTATGTTGTATAATTATGTAAAAAGTTTAATATATCTAATTTAATAGAGAAGATATTATTTTATAATAAAAAAAAATTTCGACCGCTTTCACTTATTTTGGAATTTTTTTATGTTTTCATTTAAGAAATTTTAATTTAAAACACACGTAATATATGCAATGTACTACATAAAAATCTTTTAATGCTTTACAATATTTTTTTTATAAATATTTTCTTATTACTTTACAAATTTAGTACATATTAATAAATATATAATTTTTTACGGCACTAATATAAAAATATTTATTATTTTTTAGAAAAACAAATTAAAAATTAAAATACGTAAAATATTCTGAAATCAGGAACTACGGAAAATGATTCACCCCAATA